GAGGACCCGAAACACGCTTGTTCGCTCGGGAGAAGCGTGTTTCGGCGTCTTCCCGCAGTCACGTGGCTCTCCTCTCATCCGTTGTCTGCCGCTCCACCTTTTCCATTTCGGCGGCCGCTTCTGGTGGCGATCTGCCAGGCTTTGTCAATATATAGGAGGCTATGACCCAACGCTAGCTGCTTTTGTCTCTACTCGCTCTTCGAACATGATCGAACGCCGAACGCCGGTGTCCGGCTTTTGGCTTTAACGTGTTCGAAACAAAGAGCAAGTAGCGACAAGGACAGCATATCTTTGCATCTACGCAGTTGGAATGGATTACGCAGTAACTACTCCAACTGGAGCTCGGCGTTCCGACGTCCCCGCCCGCTCGCAGCTTTGTTTTTTTAACTTTGTACTGGGCCACTAAACTCGTCAAACACAAAGTTGGGGCCGAAGTTGACGGAGCGCACCAATTGGCTTATCACGACGATGAATTGGCGCTTTTTTCGCCGACGTCAATCGGCGCGCTCCGAGAACTTCGAGCTTCAACTTTGTGTTTGACGAGTTTAGGGTCCCAGGTTATAAATTTGGCCTGTAAGGCTCAATTCATAAAGGAAAGAAGGTGACATAAAAGTGACTGCCGAGCAGCTCTCAGTTCTCAAGCATTTAGAAGCAACGTGTCCTGGTGGAGACACGCGGCCATTGAGGCTTAACAACTTCCCGCTGTCCAAACATATACCCCCAACACGCAATTATTCTCTCTAGTGCAGAGCTGGCATGATACGCACCTTGACAGAAGAGACCGCAATCCTGTAAAGGTCAATTTATCGCTTCTTACTAGTGACTTTTCTGGAATTATTATGGCCTTTCATAACCACAATGCCTGCCATTGTGGTTATGAAAGGTTGCAAAACTAACCACACGTCTAATATATATATATATATATATATATATATATATATATTGTTACAATTTCTACTTTCCTTTTGAACTGGTTTAATCACCGCACAGAGAGGTCCGACATGTTCGGTAGCTGGCTTCCAACTGCCTCGCGCACACGCACGAGCACGCGAGCACGACGAGCGTTCCCTTCGTCGCGTGCCGGTTGCTTCTCTTTTATGTTTTTTTGAAAATTAAATTGGGTTGTGTGTGTGTTTATACAGCCTAGAACTTGGTCTGCCTCACAGGGGCGACGAGTCTGCCAGCTGTAGATGAGAAATTTAGCCAGTGCGGTACAGCCGCTAGCCTGGGGTCTTTAACGTGCATCACGCAGTAGTGATACACGACCGCACGCCGGTACGATGCTCATCCAGATCGAAACGGGCAGGGTTCACCCCGTACTCAGCGTCTCCGCTACACTATCCCCCTCCCGTCCTTTGAAGACCGAGCAAGTCCTACAGAAGTCCCTGATACAAACACAGCCGGTCGCGGTGGACCACGAGGGCCCGTGATCTATCCGTGCGACGTATGCGATAGACCACATCACTGAGACGTTTGATGACGATGAAAGGTCCTTGCCGGTTACGCTGCAGTTTCGGAGACAGTCCTTTCTTGCGAGTCGGGTTGTAAAGCCATACTCTTTCCCCTGGAGAGAATGGGCGTGTTGTGACATGCGCGTCGTACCGGGCTTTCATGCGATCCAAGCCGCTCGCCAAACGCTGTCGAGCAAATGCGTGCACCCGCTCGAGGTTTGTTCTCAGTTCACCTACGTAGGACGCAGGGTTTGTGGTCGGCTCTGATGCTCATGGAAGGGCTAAATCACAGGGCGTGCGAAGGTCATGACCGAAGAGCATTGTGGCAGGCGTATAGCCAGTGACCTCATGAGCAGACGTGCGATATGCATACAAAAACAAAGGCACGATGCTATCTTAGTCATCTTGCTGATCACTGACGAACATGGACAGATGTTGTAGGATCGTTCGATTCATCCTCTCGACTAAACCGTTTGACTGCGGGTGGAGAAGCGTCGTTCTTGTCTTTTTGATGTTGAACAATTCGCAGACTTCTTGGAACACCCGAGATTCGAAGCTCCTGCCTTGGTCCGAGTGGATGCTCAGGGGAACTCCATACCGTGTAATCCAGTTCCTCACCAGAGCGTCGGCGATCTCGGAGGCGGTCTGGCTCGGTATAGGAATGACTTCCGGCCACTTCGTGAAATAGTCAACAATGACCAGCAGGAACCTGTTTCCAAGCTTAGATCGAGGAAACGGTCCAAGCACATCAATGCCGACGCGTTCAAAAGGTGCTCCCGTGACATGTTCTTGAAGCGGTGCTCGCTGTTTTACGTGAGGACCTTTCCGTGAGACGCACATGTCACATAGACGGCACCATTGCTTTACGTCATTGTGGCACTGCAGCCAGTAGAAGCGCTGCCGAATCTTTTTCAGGGTGCGGTTCACGCCGAAATGTCTTCCTTCAGGGCTTGTGTGCAGCTGATGAAACGCTTGAGAGCAGAGTCTTCGTGGCAGCACCAGTTGCCATACAACAGAGTTGCCCGCAGCGGACTCCCAGCGTCGGTAAAGAACACCGTCGCGCAGCAGCAAAGAGTCCCATTGCGCCAAGTAACTCTTGAGGGCCGGAGACAGCCGAGATACTTCCTTAGGATGGGGCCTGTTATTCTGTCTCTTCCATCTTACTAATGGGCCGATGTCCGGGTCGTCAAGTTGAGCGTTTCGAAGCTCTTCTGGCGTCCACGCTTCGTAGTCGCAGGGTAGGTTGGTTAGTGCGTTAAGCGTGTCGAAGCTGCGCTTTTCAATGCTCAAGCACTGCTTGCACTTTTTGCTACATGGCCTACGAGAGAGGCCATCGGCATTGGTGTGCTTTGAGCCGGAACGATGTTGTATGTCGAAGTCGTATTCATGCAGGCGTTCCAGCCAGCGGGCGACCTGACCATCAGGTGTCTTGAAGCTCAGCATCCATGTCAGCGATGCGTGGTCGGTTCGAATAACAAACTTCCGGCCCAGTAGATAGTGGTGAAAATGGGTGATGGCTTTGATGATGGCCAGCAACTCCCGTCGGGTGGTGCAATAATTGCGTTCGGGCTTCGTGAAGACCTTGCTATTGTAAGCAATGACGCGTTCTTGTCCGTCCTGCTCTTGTAATAAAACTGCGCCAATTGCCGAGGCGCTGGCGTCGGTGTCAAGAATGAAGCGTCCAGTCTCCTTCGGATACGCAAGTGTTGGCGGAGACGTGAGGGCTGTTTTGAGCGTCTCAAACGCGCGTTGGCATTCCGAGGACCAGACGAACTTCGCTTTCTTCTCAGTCAGAGCATACAAAGGCTTGGCGATGTGAGCGAAATCGGAGACAAATCTTCGATAGTACGATGCCAGTCCAATGAAGCTCTGCACGTCCGTGGTGGATCTCGGGGTTGGCCAATCAACGAGAGCAGAGAGTTTCCGAGGGTCTGTGGAAACGCCATCCGCCGAAATGATGTGGCCGAGGTATTCCACTTGCCTTGTAAACAGCGAACATTTCTTCGGTGTGAGCTTCAGGTTCGCATTTTGCAGGCGTGAAAAAACCAAGTTTAGATTCGCCAGATGGTCTGTGACTGTCTTGCCGAAGACGATGATGTCGTCAAGGTATACAAGGCAAATATTGCCTATGAGCTCGTTCAAGACAGATTCCATTAGCCTCTGAAATGTAGCTGGAGCATTGCAGAGTCCAAATGGCATTACTCTGAACTGATACGAGCCGATACCTGTGGTGAAGGCGGTCTTCTCGCGGTCTTCTGGTTGCACCGGGACCTGCCAATATCCGCTTTTGAGGTAAAGTGTCGAAAACTATGTGCACCCAGCGAGGGCATCCAAGATGTCATTAGTCCGAGGAAGTGGAAAAGAGTCTTTCTTAGTGACGTCGTTGAGTTTTCGATAGTCTATGCAAAATCGAGTTGTACCGTTCTTCTTTGTCACTAGCGTAACGGGTGATGACCAGGGGGAACATGCTGGTTCAATCACGCCCTGTTGAAGCATTGTTTTCACCAAGTCGTCGACGTGAGACCTCTGTGTGAGAGGAATGCGCCGAGGGCATTGTCGAATGGGAGAAGCCTGTCCTGTCACAATCCGGTGTGTCGCCACCGATGTCAGCCCTATATCTGCGTCTCCCGTGCTGAAAAGGCTTGTGAATTTTTCAAGCAGCTGGCAAAACCTCTCAGCATCGAGTTTATCGAGACAAGCAGACGCGCCTTCGTATAATGGTAATACGTGCGCAGCTAGCTTAATAGAGGATGTGCGAGGACACATATACGGGAGGGTGTCGTTTATTGGCAGCCCAGTGTCGTAGAGGACCGTCACCTTGGCGGCGCCTAGGGGAAACGAGTCAGTTTTGAGATGCAGCAATCCAGCGTTGAAATCGAGCACGCACTTGTGTGCTTTGAGGAAATCGACGCCCAGGATGCACTGCTCCTCGATAGCGGCAACGACAACAGGCAGCGAAGCGTGAAGGCTACCCACGGAGAAGGGTACAGTTGTGGAGCCTAGTACAGCTACCATGTCTCCCGTTGCGGTTTGCAGAGCATAGCTGTGAGAGCTTTGTGGAACAGCACGATTCGATTTCATCAAAACTTCCGGTCTAATTACCGAGGTTGTAGCTCCGGTATCCACAAGTGCGCGTACCGAAACTCCGTCGACGACGCCCTGAGGGTAGATAGATGTAAGTGGTGCTGTCAAGACACGCGTTGATGTGATTATCCGCGGCGATGTTGCTGTTGGGTTCCGGCTGCTGGGGTGATACGTGGGACATTGTGCCCGCGTGTGGCCCTGCTGATGGCAGTTCCAGCAAACTGGGGCTGGAGGCGCATGTGTTGCTGTTGTCGGGGCTTGCGGCTGCGTAGGAGGCCTCAGAACCGTAGATCGTGATCCTTGTCGAGCAGCTTCTATCTCCAGCGCGCCCGTGTGTGCTGCTCGGAGAGTCTTGGGGCGTGCTAGGCGAACCGCATCCTGCACCTCAACGGAGGAGATGGCGTCAATGAACGCCATGGTTGCCACAGCGTCAATTGTGTCTTGTGGGCAACCAGGAAATGCAAGATGGGCGAGGCGCTCGATGTCGTCGGCGGCTTGAGAAACTGTCTCGGTTGCAGACTGACGACGGTTGCGAAGTTGGGCGTGATGAAGAAAGCGGAGGGGTCCTTCCCCGTAGCGCTCGTTCAGTGCCGCGACCAAGGCTTCGTAGGAATCGCGGGTATCGGGTGGTAGGTAGTGTAGTACTGTCAAAGCTGGTCCGGTTAGATGGGCGGCTAAGGCTTGTGCCTTTTGAGCCGGAGACCATTGGTTAGCGTCAGCAATGAGGTTGAACTGGGATACGTAAGGCGCCCAAGGAACGGTACCGTCAAATGTGGATGGCTTGAGACGCAGGGTTGAAAGTCGGGTAGCGTTCTGAACCGGGGGGCTTGCGGTGCGCTGCTCCTCGAGTTCAGGGAATCGAGACTCCAAGCGTTGAAAACGTTCTGTCATGGAGGCAGTGAAGTCCTGAATGGATGATGTCATAGTCTGGAGAAGCAGGCTCTCTCGTCGAGCGTAGGACGCTTCGGCTTGTTGGAGCCAGCTTTTAAAGAAAGCCATGGGTTCGGACGCTGTCGGGTCTGAAGAAGCGAGATTTTTGGCGCCGGTAGTTGCGGTGTGGTCCCCTTCGGGACTGGTAGGAGGTTCCATTGCCCGGGGAAGGCGTCGGCCCGAACGGAGCTCCACTTCTGACACCAGTGTTACAATTTCTACTTTCCTTTTTAACTGGTTTAATCACCGCACAGAGAGGTCCGACATGTTCGGTGGCTGGCTTCCAACTGCCTCGCGCACACGCACGAGCACGACGAGCGTTCCCTTCGTCGCGTGCCGGTTGCTTCTCTTTTATATTTTTTTTGTTCACCCCATACTCAGCGTCTCCGCTACAATATACAGGGTGTCACAAAAGAAAATTTACACGGTCTTTTTTACCGCAAAAATAAACTAGGCATCGCCGAACGCTCATTCTTCGCCCAAAGGTAGAGCTACAGGTCACAACCAGATGCCAAAGTTTCAGCCCGATCCGATAACTTAATTAAAAGTTATAAGTGGTTTTCTGAAAATCTCAATGGGAAAATGGCGGCCGACGGAGTTTTCAAACACATGGGGCTCTATGGCACCAGAAACCGAAAACAGGCAAAAATGGGCTCCATTTTCCCATTGAAGTTTTCAGAAAATCACTTATAACTTTTGATTAAGTTATCGGATCGGACTGAAACTTTGGCATTTGGTTGTGACCTCTAGCTCTACCTTTGGGCGGAGAATGAGCGTTCGGCGATTCGTAGTTTATTTTTGCGGTAAAAAAGACCGTGTAAATTTTCTTTTGTGACACCCTGTATATATATATATATATATATATGTATATATATTATTATAGGCCGACGAAGAGGAGGACGAAGCGTAGAATGGGTGCTCTAGAGAACGTTAACTGGCATTCCGTCAGCCGGAACTGTAGTTGACTCCAGTGAGCCTGTAACATTTTGGTGGCAGCGGTGGGATCACTTCTAAACTTCCATGGCGAATCCACTGCACATTACGTTCCACTCCGGCAACACTTCGCAGCGAGCAGCTGAAAATGGCTTCTCCGTGAGCCTTCCAACGCAGCTACAACGCCTTCAAACTGACTTGAATGTTCTTCCGAGTGACATCAATGGGCCACAAAGGGACGCTTTGGGGATTTCTGTAGAGGACCTCAACACCTGTCCATCCACTCTGGATGAAGGTGGGATCGTTTCAACAGTTGGCCCCTTGACGAATGTGAACCGAGGTACCCGTGCAATGACTAATCCGTCACTGAAGTTAAAACCCTTCGACGGCAGCGTGCCAGTTCACCTTTATCGGTACCAGACTGAAACTCTTGCACAAGCCAACGGCTGGACAGAAGACGACAAAGTGCACGCGATCGTCTCCCAGTTGCAAGGACCCAGCTCTAGACGTGCTTTACCAATTCGACGGTATTCCCCTATCATTCCCGGCCCTACGTGAAGCACTGGAGTGACATTTTGGAGCTAGACATCTCCAACAAGTGCACAGCTCGGAATTAAGTTTACGCCGTCAGCGCTCTCACGAAACCCTTCAGGAGATGGCAGCCGACATCTTGCGCTTGATTGTCAAGGCACATCCTGTATCATGCCGAAATGGTACCGCATGCCAATCTTATCGTTCTGCTTATGCTATGTCATCTATAGCACTGAGTCATGCCGCAGGTACCGCCCCCCTGTTTTCGGCTATATAAGCGATGCCAAATAAACCTTGGATGTTGTTGCGTTCACGAAGTCAGCAGTGTCGGACTGACTTTCTTGTCAGCTGAGAGCCAGCTGATACATGGTGTCAGAAGTGGCCCACGCGACCACACCAGAACCGTCAGCAGGAGGCAGTCATGGAACCACTCAAGCAGCCCGACCCTTTGCTCCTGTCGGGAAATGTTCAGAAGAACTGGACGCTCTTCAAACAGAAGTTCGAGCTGTACCTGCAAGCGACGGCGCCAGACAAACCAAGAACGGAAGCTACCAAGGCGGCCACACTTTTGACTATCGCCGGTGATGACGCCCTAGAGATCTTCAATAACTTCGTCTTCGCTGAGGGTGAAAGCAAGGAGGATTACAAGACCCTTGTCGCAAAGTTCGAGGACTACTGCGCGGACCAGCAGAACGAGGTGTACGAAAGATACGTATTTCGGACAAGAACGCAAGACGAGGCGGAACCGGTGGAGCAGTTTATCCGCGTCCTCAGGAAACAAGCAAGGTACTGCAACTTCGGACAACTTTCAGATTCAATGATTCGCGATCAAATCGTCTTCGGCACTAACAACAAAAAGTTACGGGAGAAAATGCTTAGGGAAAAGGATTTGACGCTCCAGAAAGCAGAACAAACCTGCAAAGCCGCAGAAGCCTCCGCTAAACAAAATGAAGCATGGTATGCCCACGAAGAAAAGGTGGACTCAACCACAAAAGGCTACCAGCGCCGCTCAGATGCTTCAAGAACCGAACAGTGCTTCAAGTGCAACAGGAGGCACGAAAAGAGGAAATGCCTGCTTTTGGGAAGACTTGCTATGCCTGTCAGGGACGCAACCACTTCGCAGCTTCTTGCAACAAACAAGTCAGCGAGGTGAAGCACGACGACGAGGGCTTCGACATCTTGGACCTGGGTGTTTGTGGCATCGAGAAGGAACGGGACTGGATTGTCAAGGCCCAGCTAGCGGAGCAAGTGGTCTCGCTGAAGGTAGACACCGGCTCCCAAGCCAACCTGTTGCCCCTGTCGGTGTACAAGAGACTGCACCCTAAGCCGTTTTTAAGACCAAGCCACGCGGTCTTGCGCTCGTACAGCGGCAATATCATCAAACACTGCGGCGTCACAACACAGGAGGTTACGATCAACCAGCATCACTGCCGCGTCGACTTTTTCATTGTTAAACGAAGTCAGGCCATTCTCGGGCTACAGGCAAGTGAGCTCCTGGGACTGGTGTCCCGAACGGTGAACTCTGTAAGCACGGGCAGCGCCGTTCCGGTGACCCAAGAATTCGCCCACCTGTTCCAAGGCACCGGCTGCGTAAAGCGACGGTACCGAATGGTACTACATGACGATGCCGTGCCAGTGGTTCAGCCTGCACGACGGGTGCCCTTGGCACTGCGAGAGCCCCTGCGGGAAGAACTGCAGCGCATGGAGAAGGCCACCATCATCCGGAAAGTGGATGAACCCACTGACTGGGTAAGCCCTCTTGTTATTGTGAAGAAAAAAGATGGCAGCCTTAGGCTATGCATGGACCCTAGAAATATTAACGCGTGCTTGAAGCGTGAACACTACCAGATGCCACAGCGCGAAGATATCGAGGCTGAGCTTCACGGGGCGAAGTTTTTTTCCCGGCTTGACGCTAACTCGGGGTTTCATCAGATTCCAATGGACGAAGCTACGTCAAGGATCTGTACGTTCGGCACTCCGTTCGGTCGCTACCGTTTCCTTAGGCTTCCGTTTGGAATCTCGTCAGCACCCGAGGTATTCCAGAAAACGCTGAGCGAGATATTTGACCCATTACCAGGAGTAAGGGTTTACATAGACGATATTTTGGTGTGGGGAAGCTCTAAACACGAGCATGACGAGCGCCTCAAGGTCACTCTCCGTGAAGCGGAACGAGCGGGCTTGACGTTCAACTTGGCAAAGTGCAAGTTCGGCGTGCAGGAAATTTCCTTCCTGGGGGACGTGATAAGCGAGGTCGGAATCCGCCCAAATCATAGGTTGGTGAGTTGCCTGCGCGAGATGCCAGCACCAACCGATAAGCTCGGCGTACAGCGGATGTTGGGAGTGGTAAACTATTTTGGAAAATATTTACCTGCGCTCAGCGAGAAAACAAAGCTTCTACGAAGTTTAATACCTAAGGACACTGTCTTCGAATGAACAGAAAACCACGCACAAGAATGGACTGTGCTCTGCGAAGTACTCGGCAAAGTACCATTACTAGCGATTTTTGACCCCACAAAAGAAACAAAGATAACGTCAGACGCCTCAAAGGATGGCCTCGGATCGGCGATACTGCAGCGTCATGGTAGTAGCTGGCGTCCTATTGCCTATGCCTCCCGGGTAATGACAGAGGTGGAAAGTCGTTACTCACAGATTGAAAAAGAAGCCATGGGAATTACGTACGGCTGTGAAAAATTCCATCACTTCATCTATGGACGGCGCGTTTTCATAGAAACTGACCATAAACCTCTTATCGCTATTTCATCGAAGGACATAGGGGACATGCCACCAAGACTGCAACGTTTTTTCCTTCGCCTGATGATTTACGATTACAAACTACAGTTTATTCCAGGCAAAGAATTGGTCCTGGCTGACATGCTCTCAAGGGCGGCGCCTGCTGCGTCAGGGGACACCGCTGGCTTTATCGACGTTCAGGTACATGCTGTCGGCATTCTGTCATCCTTAGTAAGTGAAGCAACAAAACTGCGTTTCGCTGAAGAAACCCGCAAGGATCCAGAGTTGCAAAAGGTTGTCAAAAACATATCCAGCAATAAAGCCGTCGAAGGGGAACTTAAACCGTTCGCTTCGGACCTTTCCGTAGTAGAAGTAATTTTGTTGAAAGGGTGCAAAGTTGTCGTTCCCAAGAAACTACGACCGGAAATGCTCGGACGGATTCACGAAGGCCATCTGGGCTTAAACAAGTGCAAGGCTAGGGCACGACGTCTAGTTTTCTGGCCAGGCCTAAATTCAGACATTGAGTCGCTTGTAAGAAAGTGTGCCGCATGTACAACTTATGCATACAAGCAACCAAGCGAACCACTTTTGCTTCGTCAAGTTCCGGATTATCCCTGGTACAGGGTCGGTGTAGATCTTTTTCATTACGCCGGAAGTGCGTACCTCGCAGTGTTTGATGCACACTCCAACTTTCCAGAAGTTGAAAAGCTCGGCGACACGTCTGCAAGCACGGTTATCGGCAAACTGTGTGCCATCTTTTCAAGATACGGAATTCCGGTGGAGGTTTGCACAGATAATGGACCCCAGTTTTCGTGCCGGGACTTTGCCGCGTTTGCCAACCGATATGATTTTAAGCACATCACCTCAAGCCCCGAGTTTCCTCGTTCCAACGGTCTCGCGGAGAAGGGCGTACAGATTATTAAGAGGCTCCTAAAGAAAACTGGAGATGCGCGTGAAGATTTCTGGTTGGGCTTACTCGGCTACCGTTCTTCCCCTCTAGAGGACGGCCGTGCGCCGGGAGAGCTGCTGCAAGGCAGACGCCTGCGTACGCGACTTCCCGACTTCAGCTTACAGCCGGCATCCACCGTCAAGAAGCATCGCCAGCCAGAGACCGCGGGGCAGCGACTCCAGCCGCTCTATAAAGGACAAGTCGTCCGAGTGAGGAGTAAGACCTGGTCTTCAAAGGCTAAGGTCACGGGTACAGCGGCGCCCAGATCGTACAACGTTGAGACGGAAAGTGGAACAACTCTACGGCGGAACCGTCAGCATCTTCTGGCAACACCGGAAACATTCAATCGCGACTCGTCAGCTGACAGCGATGCCAGTGACTTTGAAGACGCCGGAGCGGAAGTACAACTTCATCCAGGGGCTCAAGGAAGAGCCAACGAAACTCCTCGTGCGCAGACAACTCCTCAAACTGTTCAAGGAACACCAAACGCGGCTCCACCAGCGCCGAGAAGATCTACGCGAGCTACTGTTGCACCCAAGCGCTTGCAGTACGGGCAGCATTTCGAACAAATTATTTAGCATTGTTTCCCCTTGTCGTTTGTTAACCTAGGTTGTTTTATGCCTTTCTTACTAAACAAAGGGGGATGTATCATGCCGATATGGTACCGCATGCCAATCTTATCATTCTGCTTATGCTATGTCATCTATAGCACTGAGTCATGCCGCAGGTACCGCCCCCCTGTTTTCGGCTATATAAGCGATGCCAAATAAACCTTGGATGTTGTTGCGTTCACGAAGTCAGCAGTGTCGGACTGACTTTCTTGTCAGCTGAGAGCCAGCTGATACACATCCTGGAGCCCTAACAGACGCAAAGGATAAGATTGGCACCTCCGCTTTTGTAGACGCTATAGCTGATCCAGAGTTTCAAGTATTTGTACGTCTTTAACGACCTACAAACGTCAAAGATGCCCTGGATCAAGCGCTAAAAGCGGCAACTGCTCAAAGGGCCACAGAGTTTGTGCAGAGGGCTAGGCATCTACAAGAGCCACCATCACCACTTCCCGCCTTATCTTCGGCGCCCAAAAGGCGGCATGGTAGTAGGAAATACAATCCTACACAACAACCAGCCCGGTCTGAGGCCACTGATCAAGCTTCCAAGGTTAACGGTGGAGCGAGCACGGTGCTTTCTTCAGTAACTTCCCTAAAACTTCCTCTGACATCAGTGGCAAGTAACCAAACGACGGTTCCAAAATTTACTGTTTGAATCGAATGTATTGGATACCAAGATGCTCTTCTTGACACTGGAGCAGCAGTGAACGTTCTGGCATCATCCCTGGTTCCAGCAGACGCACGTCTTCGTCCAACGTCACTTGGATTGTTCACTGTGAACGGTACTGCAATTCACACCCTGGGTATTCTCACTTTGCAAGTGAAAACAGTTGAGAGTACATCACCAGTGGAGTTCGCGGTGCTCGAGAACTCTGTTTGCCCGGTAGTGCTTGGCTACGAGTAGTGCCGTAAGAATAACAATGAGTTTCCGGATTCAAGAGGCAACAGAATCGCAACATCGACAATTGACCACAGTAAGTTCTTATCAAGGCACAAGCTACATCTTGGTGCCGCTCGAGTTATCTTCAACGTATGGAATGTCACCACTGCACTTCTGAGAGATTCGCTAGACCGCGTTCAGAAAGTACTTCGAGCTTTGCCTGGCACCAACACAACAAGTCTCACACCTGTGACAAGCAACGTCTACGTGTGCAAAACGGTCACCATACCCCCCAGCTCTGCTGCGTGGGTTCCGGTGAATACGCCCGACCAGAGCTTCAGCGGCGACGTCATTTACGAACCTCTCCTTCAAGCTAAACCTGGACACGAGTTTGTCTCCCCCCAAACTTTGGCATCTTCTCTGCGGGGAAACTTCGTCATCTTGGCTATAAATATTGGATTGAACGACATCACGCTAAAATCTGGGGAACAAGTCGGAACCGCCCAGCCCTCCTGCCCTGAAGTGCAGGTGAATACAGTCGCACTTGAATTCAACTCACAGGCAGACATACCCAGTCTTCCATGGGAAAAATTTAATGTTAATCCTGACCTTGACGCAGAACAGATGACAGCACTTCGACAGCTCCTTCAACGTCATCGTAGCTGCATCGCACTTTCTCCAAATGAACTCGGCTGCACGTCTTTAGTCGAGCATTCCATCGGCACTGGGGACAGTCGACCTATTCACCAGTCACAGCGTAGCTTTTCTCCATCCGAACGAAGTGTTATTCAAACGCAAGTTAAGGACATGATTCAACAAGGGGTGGTCGTTCCTTTATCAAGCCCATGGTCCTTTCCAGTGGTGCTCGTCCGAAAAAAAGATGGCGCAATCCGGTTTTGTGTTGACTATAGAAAAATCAGCAGCCTTACGAAACAGGATGTGTACACCCTACCTCGTTTGGATGATGGCCTGGATCGACAACAGGGATCAGAATATTTCACCACCTTGGATCTCCTGTCAGGATATTGGCAGGTTGCGCTTGACCCCAAAGATGTAGAAAAATCTGCGTTTGTAACACCTGATGGACTCTACTAGTTTACAAGAATGCCTTTTGGGCTGTGTAATGCACCTGCCACAATTTAGAGATTAATGGACAGGGTGCTAGGCCACTGAAGTGGACCATGGCACTCGTATACCTAGATGACGTAATCGTCTATGGAACCACATTTGATGAACAACCCCAAAGACTCACATCAGTATTGGATGCGTTCTCCTCTGCCAATCTGCACCTGAAACCGGAGAAGTGTTGCTTTGGGTATAAAGAAGTAACCTACCTTGGACACGTTGTATCGAAAAGAGGGATTACACCAGATCCTGTCAAGCTTCAGGCCTTCGCAGAGTATCCTGTTCCAACATCCTTAAAGGAAGTAAAAAGTTTCCAGGGATTTGCATCATATTTCCGCCGATTCATTTCTGACTATGCGCGCCGTGCGGCTCCAATGAACCTTCTGCTACGCAAGAATGTACCCTGGCGATGGACTGCAGAGGATCAAGCTTCATTTGAAGACCTGAAGGGTGCCTTGTCGAGTGCCCCAATTCTGGAACAATTTGACCCTGCTAAGCCGACCTATCTCCACACAGATGCCTGTGGAGAAGGACTCGGTGCTGTTTTGTTGCAACAAGATGACGACGACACGCAACGTGTTGTTTCATACGCAAGTCGCCGTCTGACGGACGCAGAACAGCGGTATCATTCTTCAGAACTTGAGTGTCTTGCACTAGTCTGGTCAGTGCAACACTTCCGGCCATATCTCTACGGCCGACACTTCACTGTTGTGACCGATAACTCAGCCTTGACATGGCTCCAAAGCAAGAAAGATCTAACGGCCAAACTAGCTCGTTGGTCGATTTTACTTCAAGAACATAACTTCACAATTGTTCATCGGAGTGGCAAAGAACACTAAGATGCAGACTTTTTATCTCGTCATCCGTCATCCGATGAATGACATGCCGGATTCTCCTGACCACGATGCTTGCTTTTGTGCGCCTACATTTAATTTGAACGCAGGCCAGGAACAAGATTGTGAAATCCAGGACATCGTGTCTCGACTTCAAACGGCTGACGTACCACCCACGACTAATCGCCTACGTAAAGCGTACCAGATTCGTGCCGGGTTACTTTGCCATCGCAGTTCCAGCACTAAACATTGGGTGCCAGTTGTCCCTTCTTCACTACGCGGAGCGGTATTGCATCTTTGTCATGACGACCCTACGACGGGGCATCTAGGCCGTGACAAAACTTTCCAGAAGGTATTAGAAAGGTACTGGTGGTCTGGGCTTCGAAAGGACGTGGCAAGCTACGTAGCCTCTTGCTCACAATGTCAGCAGCGCAAGTCACCAAATACAAGCAAGCCATGTGAACTTCACCCCATACCACCACCTGAGGCTCCATTCAAGGTGGGGGGAATGGACCATCTCGGGCCTTTTCCACGTACATCAGACGGAAACCGCTTCATTCTAGTGGCAGTAGATCATCTTACCAAAGGGGTAGAGTTATGCACCGTGGCCAGTACTTCAACCGAAAAAGTCGTGCGGTTCCTTAGAACCCAGCTTCTCCTGCGACACGGAGTGCCACGGATAATCATAACTGATCGAGGTACAGCTTTTACCTCTGCCGTGTTTTCAGAAGAGCTAGACTCTCAAGGCATAACTCATGCTAAAGCAGCTCCCTACCGACCGCAGACGAACGGGTTGGTTAAGCGAGCTAACAGAACAATTGCTGAAATTCTTTATTCGTACTTTAATGTCAAACACACTGATTGGGACACTTTTGTTACTTTTGCCGCGTTCGCGATGAATACCGTGAAGCAGTCAAGCACCACTTATACACAATTTCAACTTGTTCATGGTAGAACGGTGGTGCTTCCTCAAGAATGCTCATCATCTGTAACGTGCCGGAATAGGGGAGACGATGTGCTGACAGTAACTTTCAGCACCGCCTAGATGACGGACGAGAACGAGCCAAGAATGGCTATATTACATTCCCAACAGCGTGCGGCATCTCGATACAGTGCTCCTGGCTCGACACCATGTCTATCTCCGGGTGACTTGGTCCTGGTTCGGAGGGAACAGCGAAAGAAAGGTCGAGCACAAAAGCTTCTGCCTAGGTATAGGGGTCCCTGTGAAGTCACTAAGAAAATTGGACCACTAACCTATGAAGTTCGAGGTTGGGGAACTTCACAGAAGACCAAGACATTTTCAGCGCATGTGCATCACCTGAAAATGTAAATCCCACGCACAAGTGCTCCTCCTTCTTCTCCGGGTCAGTGAACTGTGGGAATCAAAGGGCCGATGAATTGCTTTTTCTGCTGTGATGACTTTTACGTGGGAGGGGGAGTGTGTTAGAGGCCGACGAAGAGGAAGACGAGGTGTAGAATGGTGCCCTAGAAAATGTTAAGTGGCATTCCGTCAGCCGGAACTGAAGTTGACCCCCGTGAGCCTGTAACAATATATATATATATATATATATATATATATATATATATATATAGGAAAAGGTAGAGATTAATGATTTTCATTTTCGAGGCTTGAACTGGGTGATGTCATTATGTCGCATTCCAGATTAGGCAGGAAAAGTGCGGTGTACGAGGAAATTGTATGACGATTCAGCCATAAGACACACAAAAGCACAGTAAGGCATATTACACCATAGCGGCAGGTTGACTTATTTGAAAACTAAATTGAGTAAATCAAACAGCTAATGCGCTATATAGGTATCGACTTATTTTAAATAGTGCGTCGCCAAAGGATTTACGGAGGCTCTCTTTGGCTCGGGCCAATGCTACTGTACCTCCACCGGCCGGTGTCATGGGCATTGGACTGATCTCTACTATTTTCGGAATCACTGGCCTTTACCCTTTCCGTTACCTTATTTAGTATCGCGAAATTCGGAATAGTAATTGGGAAATGGGTAAGTGAAAATGCTGCCAAAACCTATATTCAAGCACACCCGCGCTTTTCAGTGCCGTGACGTCAGGGGAAGACAGGCTTGCCGTTCTTGCGGGTAGTCTAAAAATGGACTATGCTGGCCTTTTGTTTCGTTCCGCTGCGCAGGTGTGAGTGAGATTGAAAAGAATTTATTTGCCACCATGTAAGTGTTTGCAATCAGTTGGGTACAAAGTCTACAGTCCAAAGAGTGAACCCCTGCCTTCCGCCGACATCACTGTTTCATTGTTGCCAGTAGAGACTTTCACTTTGAAAAACACGGTGAGGACAAAATTGT